TCACTGCAACCTCTGCCTCCCGGGTTCAAGCGATTCTCTTGCCTCCGCCTCCCAAGTAGCTGGGATTAAAGGCATCTGCCACCATGCCTGGCTAATTTTTTTTTTTTTTTGTATTTTTAGTAGAGATGGGGTTTCACCATCTTGACCAGGCTGGTCTCGAACTCTTGACCGCGTGATCCATGTGCCTCAGCCTTCCAGAGTGCTGGAATTACAGGCGTGAGCCACTGCGTCCAGCAAGAAAAAGTTTTTTTAATGAACCATAGAGACCTCTCAGAGCTCCAGATTTGGGGGAGGGGGTCAGATAATCAGGAGAGATCCCTAAGAAAGTGCCATTTGAGCTGTGATCCGAAGAATGACTCGTAAGTAGTCAGCTAGGTGCAGATGGGGAGAGGAGAGGGCATTCTGGGCCAAGGGCACAGCATGGGTGAGAATAGAGGTGGGAGGTGGGAAGCAGCACTGTGTCCCAGAGGGATTGGAAGAGAGCCAGAGTGACTGGCACATCGAGAGGGCACAGGGGACGCCCGAGGAGCTGGTGAGACAGACAGGACTGAGAGAAACAGCAAGCCGGTGCCTGAGAGCCTCCCACCAAGTGGTGATCTGTCTCCCCTCCTCCTCCCCTGCCCTCCCATCATCTCTGTTTGCCCCAGTGCCCTTTCTTTCTTTTCCCTGTTCTTCCTTTTGGAAGAACATAAGAGCTCACCTGTGTTCTGGTTCCTTTTCTGAAGGGCTTTATGATTACTTAACCAACCTCATAACCACGGACCAGCCAACATTTCACAAATATTCACTCAAAACAAGCCTGTTATTATCACCCTCGTTTCGTAGAAGTGGAAACTGGGGTGCAGAGAAATGAAGGGCCAGCAGCTGGTAAGTGACGAGCCAGGGTCCAAGGCCAGGATGTCTGCCCAGCCGCCATGCTCACCTCTCATCTTGGCTCTCCTAGGAAGAGTTAGTTACTTGTAGGGTATTATTAGATTGGTGCAAAAGTAATTGTGGGTTTTGCCATAGAAAGTAATTACTTCTACACCAACCTAATACTTTTTCTCCCAAAGTAAAAGGGGTTTAGTAGAAGGATTCCTGCAGACCAGAAACCCAGAGGGATATTGCTGATGTGGTAGGTGCTGGGCCAGCAGGGAGAGACGTCTGAGCCCCTGCCAGGTGCTGCCTGGGAGCCACTTTGTCAGCATTTGTTTGTTCCACTTGGGAGGCAGCCCTGCCAGGGACACCTGGGGACACCTTTTCCCACTGGAAGCGCCATCTGAATCCAGAACCGTTTTCTTCATCTTTAAAAAAACAAAACAAACAAAAAAACCAAAAAACTATGTCTGCCTTACTTCAGCTGTTGGCACTGAACCATCAGTACAATTTTTGTGTTTTTTTTGAGAGGAGTCTCGCTCTGTCACCCAGGCCGGAGTGCAGTGGCATGATTTCGGCTCACTGCAACCTCTGCCTTCCAGGTTCAAACGATTCTCCTGCCTCAGCCTCCCGAGTAGCTGGGATTACAGGCACGTGCCACCACACCCAGCTAATTTTTGTATTTTTAGTATAGATGGGGTTTCACCATGTTGGCCAGGCTGGTCTCAAACTCCTGACCTCAAGCAATCCACCCACCTCAGCCTCCCAAGGTGCTGAGATTACACACTTGAGCCACTATGCCCAGCCCATCAGTACAATTTATTAAAAAAAAAAAAAAAAAAGTTACAACCACTGAAGCATGGATGTCACATGGGAAACTTTTTCCTTGTACAGAAGGTAGGAAATAGTCTCCCACGTCTTTAGTTGTGAGCAGAAGCTCACGGAAATGGTTCACTACAAACCTTTACGTCTCCACTGGTCCTTGTACCACCTTTTTGACAGTGTGTAGCATGGTCCGCCACAAGACTTGTGCATTTGTGTTAAAATGAAGTTGCTAGAACATTCCGATTGTTGTCTATTCCCAAGGCAGATCCTTAAATAAAATATATTTTTGGACAGCCACATAGCAGAACCAAATAGCCTAGTTAAAAACAGCTGTTAGCAAAAGAAGGCAGGGGGAAGTTCCCAGCTGAAACCAGCTCTGAGTGGAAGGCAGATCATAGCATGGGCAATTTTGGTATGTGTAGTTTGTGGATGTCAGACTTTTGAGCATCTTGTATTCTCATTCTTGCCAGTATCATAAGAGCAAGTCTTTTTTCTTTTTGTAAGACTGTCTCACTCCATCACCCAGGCTGGAGTACAGTGGTGCCATCACAGCTCTCTGTAGCTAAGACCACAGGCGCACACCACCACATGTGGCAAATTTTTTTTTTTTTTTTGATTACAGGCACGCACAACCACACCTGGCTAATTTTTGTATTTTTAGTAGAGACAGGGTTTCGCCATATTGGCCAGGCTGGTCTCAAACTCCTGACCTCAAGTGATCCACCCATTTCAGCCTCCTGAAGTGCTAGGATTACAGGCATGAGCCACCGCTATCTAGCCCAGGCTAAGAGCAATTCTCACAGATATTAACAGCTTGTACAAAACATCCCACACCCCTCCACAATTGTCCTCACCCACTTGAAAGTATGACTGCAATAGGTACACACATTCACGCTGGATATAATGGCAGTGCTGTTCTCATACTCCATACTTGTATTCTAAGTAGCTGACTACATGTATGCCTCCCCTCAGTTCACAAGTTCTATAAATTCAGAGATGCTTGGTTTATCTGCAGAGAGGCAGTGCGAATATGGTACCAGTAGTTAGAAATGTCCACTCTGGAGCCAAACTGCTGGGGCTTGAACCTTGGGTCCCCCATGTACCAACTGTGTGACTTTGGGCCACTTAGCCTCTCAGTGGCTCATTTCCCATCTGTGAAATGGGGCTTCATCATAGTATCACCCTGGAACATAGAAAAGCTATGGTAGCTGCTATAAATGTTAACTGTTTTTGTTTTCGTAGCCACTGCAGTGCCTGACACATAGAAGGTACCCAAAAACTGCAGTCCATTCAACAGTATTCACCCAATGCATGTCAGTGTCCAGCACTGTCCCAGGAGCCGGAGACAGGGCTGGACTGAATGTCATCAGGGACACCATCCACACTGAGTTCCTGGAGGCGCCATTAACAGAATACGGTGTGCAACCAGCAGACCTGGAGGTGTATTTGCAAATGCAATAGATGACGTGCCTGTCCTCCTGGAGGTTATAGGCTAGCATGAAACAGAGAGAACCAGGAAAATCACGAGATATTGTTGGGCAGGTCACTGAAGGAATACATAAGATCATTTCAGATAGTGAGAAGTGCTCTGTAAAAATCAAGACAGAGGCTGGGCGCGGTGACTCACACCTTTAATCCCACCACTTCAGGAGACTGAGGCAGGTGGATTGCTTGAGCCCAGGAGCTTGAGATCAGCCTGGGCAACATGGCAAGACCTCATCTCTACAAAAAATACAGAAGTTCGTACAGAAATTTGCCAGGCGTGGTGGTATGTACCTGTAGTCCCAGCTCCTCAGGAGGCTGAGGTGGGAGGAAGATCGCTTGAGCTCAGAAAGTGAAGGCTGCAGTGAGCTGTGATCATTCCACTGTACTGCAGCCGGGGTGACAGAGTGAGACCCTGTCTCAGAACCAACCCCACCCCCTAAAAAAAGGATGATTTGTGATGAAGAGAGAGTAAGACGGCTGCAGATGGAACGTCAGGAAAGGCCTTATTAAGGAGCTAATGTGTGAGATGAGAACTGCAGGCTACCAGGGAGCCAGTCTGGCCAAGCCCTGGGGCATAGACTCTAAGCAGAGAGAATGTGCCTGGCTGGAGGCCAGAACCTGGATGTGTGTGCCGGCCCCTGGTGCCACTCTGTGCCCTTTGTCCTATTCTGTGTGGGGGAGACTGGCTTCTGGGGACTGCCTCACCTATCCTTCCTCTGGCTCCCCATTTGTTCAGCCAGCAGGAGGCAGCAGCATGACACAGGGCAGGAGGAAAGCGAGGCTGGGGTATTTCTCCCCCATGCTCGTTGGGCCATGTTTTGGCAATGGCTTTGTTCCTGCACCCAAGACCACATCTTGGACTAGATGGCCTCCTGCCGCTGCGGGTTCCAGTCATGCTGTTCTCCCTGCTGCTGCGGGTTCCAATCGTGCTGTTCTCCCTACCTCCTGCCTCCTGCCGCTGCAGGTTGCAGTCATGCTGTTCCCCCTGCTGCTGCAGGTTCCAATCGTGCTGTTCTCCCTACCTTAACGTGGCTGGAGTAAGGGAAGGGGACCTGCATGGGGCAGGCCAGCAAGGCCATGGAGGCGGCTGGCTGTGCAGAGCTTCTGCACGGAGTGAGAAGTCTGGAGAGCTTTCAGCGGGGCTTTCCCAGACTCACATGCACTTTTTGGAATGGAATTGAAGCTGCTTATTTTTTTACGCCCCAAAACTTTTTATAGATTCAGTTTAGCATCTGAGAAACACCGTTTGCTATAAACTGTGATTGTCTCTCAGGTTTTGCCTTTCCCAAGAGAGCGTCCTCTATTTGGCTGTTACTGCTGCTGAGCACCCCAAAGAGCGAGGCTCTATTTAAAGTCACCGCCTCGAGTGGTGACAGGGATCATCCGGGGGCTCACCCAGCCTAGGTGGCTTCTGCCGTTCCGTCTGCTACGATACCCGCAATCTTGCTTTTGTGGTTAGAACAGGGCTTCCTTTTTTTTTTTTTTTTTTTTTTTTTTTTTACTGCCACCACCCACAGAAAAACAAGAGTGTAATTTTGGAAACAGGCCATTAAGCTGACAGGTAACTTTGCCTTCTCCTTCTTGGGACCCAGAAAGGGACTCTCAAAGCTCTTTTGCCCAGACAGGAGCGTTTTGATTCGTGGGAATCACATTTTGTCGTTTTCCTCCGTATTGTTTAACCAGGTTTGTGAGTGGGTCTTGCCTTTATTCAGTAACTGACAACATTAATTTCTCCACAGCTGCTGAGGGAGGATCTGGGTTTCTGTGTGATTTTCTTTTTCCCTCCCTGCTTCATCTTTGGGATTGTTGATCCTTTTTTTTTGGTTCTCTACTAGGATCATCCTGAACATGGGGTCCTGTTTCTTGTTCGAGAGCTTCTCAACGTGATCCAGGACTACACCTGGGAGGACAACAGCGATGAGAAAATCCGCATCTATACCTGCGTCCTGCATCTCCTCTCCGCCATGAGCCAGGAGACGTACCTTTACCACATAGACAAAGGTAGCAGAGCCGCCCTCACCAAACCGTGCTCCACGCGGATTTCATGAAAGGCAGACAGAATGCTTTCATTGTCTCTTTATGTTTTCTCCCTTGCACTTTAGCTCCCATGAACCTCTAGTCCAGGGTCTCACTGTATTTACCTGATCTAAGACTTACCTGGGGCAACTCTTAAGAGTACAGATTCTTGGGCCAGGCGCAGTGGCCCACACCTGTAATGCCAGCACTTTGGAAGGCCAAGGCGGGTGGATCACCTGAGGTCAAGAGTTCGAGACCAGTCTGGCCAAAAGAGCCACAACCCATTTCTACCAAAAATACAAAAATTAGCCAGGCATCATGGTGCACCCCTGTAATCCCAGCTACTCAGGTAACTGAGGCAGGAGAATCACTTGAACCTGGGAGGCAGAGGTTACAGTGAGCCAAGATCGTACCACTGCACTCCAGCCGGGGCAACAAGAGTGAAAACACCATCTCAAAAAAGAAAAAAAAAAGGAGTACAGATTCTTCAGCCCCATCCTGCCCTTGATTGATTGACCGAGACAAGGTATCAGTCTGTCACCCAGGCTGGAGTGCAGTGATGTGATCTCAGCCCACTGCAGCCTTGATAGTCCAGGCTGAAGCAGTCCTCCCACCTCAGCTTCCCAAGTAGCTGGGATTACAGGCATGTGCCACTGCACCCAGATAATTTTTAAAAATTTTTTGTGAAGACAGGGTTTCACCATGTTACTCACGCTGGTCTCATACTCCTGGGCTCAAGCGATCTACCCGTCTCAGCCTTCCAAAGTGTTGGGATTGTAACCATGAGCCACCACACCTGGCCTTTCCTTCTTAATTTGCATCTTTAACAAGCACCTGAGATCATGTTGAACATCAGACCAGTTTGGAGAAACACTCTTTAAAAAATAATAATAATTTCAACTTGTATTTTAGATTTAGGAGGTATACGTGCAGGTTTGTGACAGGGGTATATTGTGCAATGCTGAGGTTTGGGGTGCGAATGAGATAGTACCCAGTGGTTTTTCAGCCTTTGTCCCCTCCCCTTCCTCCTCCCTCTAATAGTCCCCAGTGTCTGTTCTTCCCATCTTTATGCCCATGGGACCCAGTGCTTAGGGCCCACTTACAAGTGAGAACATGGCAGTAGTTTTCTGTTTCTGCACTAGTTCACTTAGTGCAGAATAATGGCCTCCAGTTGCACCCATGTTGCCACAAAGGCCATGATTTCATTCTTTTTTAGGGCTGCATAGTATTCCATTGTGTGTATGTACCACATTTCCTTTATCCAATCCACTGCTGATGAGCATCTACGTTGATTCTATGTCTTTGCTGTTGCAAATAGTACTGCAGTGAACATACATGTGCATGCGTCTTTTCAGCAGAATGATTTATTTTCCTTTGGGTATATACCCAGTAATGGGATTGCTGGGTCGAGTGGTAGTTCTGTTTTCAATTCTTTGAGAAATCTCCAAAACTGCTTTCCACACTGGCTGAACTAATTTGCATTTCCACCGACAGAGTGTTAAGTGTTCTCTTTTCGGAGGAACCCTCTTTTGGATCAGTGTGCTACACAATAAACTGGAACAATGGCTAAATATACACATGCATGAGCTTCATGCCAGGCCTGTTCCTTACCAGTCTCAGGCAGGACCCTGGTGTGGGTGTTTGCCACCTGCTCCTCAGATGATGCCAAGGCTCAGCGGCCCTCATCTGGGTGTTCTGGAGGAAGGAGGTGGCCTTGCTCCCCCGCCTGCTACCAGACATTTTGAACTTGCTACTACAAGTTGGGAGCAGCCTCCTCATGTCCTGGACTTACCACAGGACATCCCAATTCCAGGCCTTTTCCCACTGAGCCCAAGTATCCTCCTGCCTGGCAGACCCCCAGTTCTAATTTTTGGATTCCAAAAATTGGTCTTAATGTCAAAAGTGCTTTGGCCAGTAATTGTATACTTTACGGTTTAAAAAACCGTCTCTACACTTGCAAGTTGCAGTGAACACATTAGCAGTGCTTAAGGGATGGCCAGCTTTCTGTCATACCTCTCAGGCTTTCTCTAGCTGGGTCTGGGGACGGAGGATAAATGTGACTTAGGGAGGCTGGTTCATAGCAAGAACGATGATGGCTACCCTGATCTGAGCACTTACTGCGTGCCAAGGACTACGTCAGGCTCTACAGGCCTTTTTCCCCGAATCCTTACAGCTTTCCTATGAGGACAGGCATTCATGTTCCCATTTTATGTATAAGCAAGAGGAGATCCAGAAAGACAATGTGATTTACTCCAGGGCTTCCGGTAGTTAGTGATGGAAGTGAAACTCACACCCAGAGCGGTGGGACTGCATTAGACTGCTTTGTTGATTACAAAATAACAGTGTTGGCTGGGCACAGTGGCTCGTGCCTATAATCCCAGCACTTTGGGAGGCAGACACAGGCGGATCACCTGAGGTCAGGAGTTCGAGGCTAGCCTGACCAACATGGCGAAACCCCATGTCTACTAAAATTAATACAAAAAAATTAGCCGGGCTGTTGGCAAGCGCCTATAATCCCAGCTACTTGGATGGCTAACGCAGGAGAATCGCTTGAGCTCGGGAGGCTGCAGTGAGCCAATAATGTGCAACTGAACTCCAACCTGGGTGACAGAGCAAGACTCCGTCTCAAAAAAAAAAAAAAAAAAAAGAAACAGTGTTTTTATTAAAGCGTATTATATAACATATATGCAATAAACTATAGAGCTCAGTGAATTGTCACAAAGCAATCACTCCCAGGTAACCACAGTCCAGATCAAGAAATAGAACACCTCCTTCAGTCAGCATCACCACCCTACTCTCTGAAGACACACCACTCTCTCTCCTGACTTCTAGCATTTATTAATTAGTTTGCCACTTTCTGAATAAGTAAATGGAATATTTTGCAAGCGTTCTTTGGTATTTGGCTGCTTTAATTCAGCATGATGTCCAAGATTCATCTGTGTTGGTATGCAAAACTGTAGTTCACCTTTTGCACGGCTGTATAGTATTCCTTTGTGTAGATGTACCAAAATTTATTCATTCCTTCTGGATGGAAATTTGCATGTCCAGTTTGGGGCTATTATGAGTAGTGTGGCTGTGAACATTCTTGCATGTATTTCTTGGTGTACATTCCCATTGGCTGTCTGCGTGGGGGTGGCATTGCTGGCTCATAGGATCTGCTTATCTTCTGCGTTGGTGGATACTGCCTCATGGTTTCCCAAAGGGTTAAACCAATTGACATTCCCACCAGGCACGAATGAGGCTTCCATTTGTTCAGTTGCTGTGGTCAGTCTTTTTCATGTCAGCTGTTCTAGGAGTGGAGTCTGCATTTCTCTGATGGCTGGCGAGGTTGAACACCCTTCCCTGTATTTCTTGGCATCTTTGTTTCCTCTTTTGTGAAGTGCACATTGGAGGCTCTGAACTTCAATGAGAGAAAGCTTTGAGGACCAGATGGAGACCTGGAAGTGAGGCTGTCAGAGGAGCTTGCCCTGCCCTCTCTGCTCCCTCCTCTCCTTCCTCTCCCTCAAACAGATTCAGTCCATCCTTTCTGTGAATAAGCCTGCCAGTGAAGACTACCAGAGCCAGATTGGCAGCAGAGGGAGCGAGGCTATATTTGATAGGCAAGAGTGTAGTTTTCTAGCTTTTAAAGATGAGAACAGAAGGATAGATTTTCTTTTTCTTCTTCTTAGTCCAGCTGTGTTTACTTTGAATGCACAACTGTGACCTGCCCAGCGTCTTGGTAGGAGACCCAGGGAGGCACGGAGGCCCTGCAGGCTGTGGGGGCTCCTTTTTCCCCGTGTGCTTCCTCATTGTAGGGAGGCTTTGAGACGATGTTGACACAGCTTAGAACTTGGAAAAGAGAGGTTGAATAATTTCTGCATTTTGGGAGGATGCCTTGGCCACTTTCTTCCCAGATGAAGAAAAAGAGAAGGCTCTGACGCTGCCTGGAGCAATCCCTCCAGTACTTTCACACGAGGTTACCAGAGAGTGTGCATGTTTGATGTAGGAGTGAAGAACAGACCTGGATCCTCAGTGTTTATGGATTTAGTGTGCAGACAGTATGTCTTCATTGGAAGAGTACAACCCAGGATGCTTCTGTGAAGCCAAGGCGGCCCTCCTCACTCTTCCACGTCACCTGCCAGGCCCTCAAAGCGTTCGGGTTTGCAACTCAGGGTGGGACAGATGCAGAGATTGTGGGCTATTTTTAGTGGCCATTTGCAGGGGACATCTTTTCTCCCCCTCGTGAGAGCTGTGTCTGGACTTGAAGGCCAACAGTACACTCTGACCTGACCAAATTCCTTTTAATTCTCAAATTCGCCTTTTTCTCTCTCCCTCTATGACCTCCAAGTGTTAGCATAGAGACTTCATTTCTCCCTCCTCCCCCTTTTTCCCCCTTTTGCTAGTGAATTCAACCTTTAGGACTCAGTCTAGATCTCACTGATTCCAGAATCCTGTCCCAAGCATAGATTTTAGGATCCCGTGATCCCCTGTACTGCCCCCGCTTCCTTGAGCCTGGGAAGCAGAGGTTGCAGTGAGCCAAGATTGTGCCACTGAACTCCAGCCTGGGCGACACAGCGAGACTCTGTCTCAAATGGTTCTGCACACTACTGCAATTGCCTGTTTGGGTGTCTGTAGCTCCTTATAGACTATGAGCTCTGTGTCTGTGAGGGTAGGACCAGGTCAGCCTTGTCCCCCACTAGGTTCCCGCTCCTAGCCTAGAAGCTGGCGTGGAGCAGGCCTTATGCAGTAGGCGTTGTGTGTGTGTGTGAGTAGCCTGCTTCAAACACACCTCTGGCCCCTCGGGGTGGTTGGACCTTCCCTCTTCTCCATTGCTGGGCTGTTCAAAATGCAGGTGAACTCCAGCCTGGAGGAAGACTGGGAATTTATGCAGGAACTATTCTGGTCCTCACAGCAGCCATGAGAAATTCCTTCGCCAGCTGCAGTTTGCTGCTCTGCACGATCAGGTGCTGTTGAATGGCTGAATTGAATTCTTCTCGCGTCTTACAAGAATAACTGCCGTCCCCCACTGGGGAGGTAACAGTCATGACACAGCAGCCAGAGCCAGCTTGGAAATTCTGAGATTGACTCCTACGGCCCAGGGCCATTAACTCCCAACCTGGTGTCAGACGAGCAATCGCAAAGGAAACCTTGGGGAAGTATCCCAGCAGAGTCCCCATAAACGAGCAGTTAAAGATTGGATAAGAGATTCCTGTGACCAGAGAAGCTGGGGAACAAAGGAAACCAGGTTTTCTCCTTGTTCTTAGGCAATATGCCTGCGACCTGCTTTCAAATGGTTCAGCCAAAAAAAAAAAAAAAAAAACGTGTGTGTCTGTCCATCCTTGTAGAGACAACAAGAAAGAGAGCTTGCACAAAAGTAGCAAAATGTTATCAATTGGTGATTCAAGAAATAGGTGTTCATGGCCGGGCACAGTGACTCACGCCTGTCATTCCAGCACTTTGGGAGGCCAAGGCAGGAGGATCACTTGAGGTCGGGAGTTTGAGATCAGACTGGCCAAGGTGGAGAAACCCCATCTCTATAAAAATACAAAATGTAGCCCTGCCTGCAGTGCAGTGCCGTGATCTCTGCTTGCTGCAACATCTGCCTCCTGGGCTCGTGATCCTCCCACCTCAGCCTCCCGAGTACCTGGGACTGTAGGCACACACCAACACATCCGGCTAATGTTTGTATTTTTAGTAGGATGGGGTTTTGCCGTGTTGCCTAGGCTCGTCTCGAACTCCTGAGCTCAAGTGATCTACCTGCCTTGGCCTCCCAAAGTGCTGGGATTATAGGCGTGAGCCACTGTGCCTGGCCATCTCGTGCTGTTTGTCCCTCACTTGTACACAGGCCCTACTGTGTTTCTCATAAATATTGTCTCTTTTGATTGTGTGTGTCTGAGGCAGTATCCTTCCCACTTGTTTCAAGACAGTGATGAATGTTCTCTCAATGGGGCGAGAAGAGCACAACAAATCACATTCCAGCAGATAAGCTAAACTGGATGTGGTTTATTAAAGACATCCCTAAACCACAAAACTGGATTGGCTCTGTGCACATGTGGCCGCGTGTACACAGCCACACCCCAAGGCACAGGCATGGCTCTTGGTTTATGAGATATCCACACACTCGGGACGGTGACCCAGATTGCAGGCCCGTGCCAGGCGAGAAGCAGTGAGCACCGCTGCTGCCCCGTCCTCCTTCCTGACCACTGAGTGCTGTGTTGGCTCCAGAGCTCTCCCTTTAGCCTGGGGGTTCAGATGCTGAACTGGGCTCCCCAGACAGAGTGTTGCTTGTTCACACCCAGTTATGCTTGGCCACATACAAGTCCCTCTCTGGTAACTGGAATGAAAGCAGCTATAAGAGGATCCGGTGGAAAAGGTGTGTGAGCTCATGTGGGCGTGGAAGAAAAGAATTGGCTCTGTAGGCAGAGCTGGTGGTTTCGTTGTGAACTCTAGGGTTTGCAGCAGGCTGGCCCTAGCCAAAAAAAGGAAGGAAGGAAACCACTGAAGTGTTCGCAGTAGGGACCAACTCAGTACATTCTGTTCCATCATACAGTGGGATACTATGCAGCCATGACAACAAAGCAACAGAGCTGTATGCATAGGGCCCCCTTACCCGGTGTCTCTTTTTTTTTTTTTTGAGATGGAGTCCCACTCTGTCGCCAGGCTGGAGTGCAGTAGCGTGCCAGTAGCTGGGACTACAGACACGTGCCAGCACGCCCAGCTAATTTTTGTATTTTTAGGAGAGATGGGGTTTCACCATGTTGGCCAGGATGGTCTCGATCTCTTGACCTGGTGATCCATCCGCCTCAGCCTCCCAAAGTGCTGAGATCGCAGGCATCAGCTCAGCCTTTTTTTTTTTTTTTTCCCCAAGACAGTCTCGCTGTGTCACCCAAGCTGGAGTACAGTGTCTCGATCTTGACTCACTGCAACTTCTGTAGAGATGGGGTTTTGCTGTGTTCCTCAGGCTGGTCTGAAATTTCTGGACTCAAGTGATCCTCCTGCCTCAGCCTCCCAGAGTGCTGGGATTACAGGTGTGAGCCACTGATCCCAACCCCAAGAGTTATCATTGAGTTGAAAAAAACAAAGTGTAAAGCAGCACAGAGTGTGGTGTCTGTTTCGTCGCCCAGATTATGCTCTGTGTGAAGGTCAGTTGAGAGGAAGGAGCGGGGAGGAAGGAGTGGGGGAGGAGGAAGGGAGGAGGAGCTCAAACTCCGGCTATCCTTGGCTAGGCCTGTCTTACTCTAGGCAGTGCTTGTCACAGGACGAGACCAAGCAAACAGTGGAGGAGCTTTTAGCAAGAGACATTATCAAAGGGATTTACACTTCTAGAGTAGTTGAAATGGAAAATCTCTGCAGTCCTTCCAAAGCCAGTTTTGAGGAGAGGGTGACAGGGCAGGCAGCTGGATGCGGTAGCTGAGTGTGGGCTCTGGAATCAGACTTCATGGTTTAGGATCCTAGCTAGCTAGGACCATCTCTGAGCCTCTTCTCCCTAAAAGGGAGATATTAATATCATCTCTTGGCTGGGCTGGTCGCTCACACCTGTAATCCCAGTACTTTGGAAGGCCGAGGCAGGCGGATCACTTGAGGTCAGGAGTTCGAGACCAGCTTGACCAGCATGGTGAAACCGTCTCTACTAAAAATAAATAAATTAATTAAAAAAATAGCCAGGCATGCTGGCAGGTGCCTATAATTCCAGCTACTCAAGAGGCTGAGGCAGGAGGACTGCTTGAGCCTTGAGGCGGAGATTGCAGCGAGCCAAGATCGTGCCACTGCACTCCAGCCGGGGTAAGAGAGAGAGACTCCATCTCAAAAAAAAAAAAAAAAGCCATCTCTTCACATACTGGTTGTGGGGGGCTCTGCAATGAGGCAGTTAAAGCCGTAGCCCAGTGCCTGGCAGCTGCTGTGATGATCATTGTCATTATTAACGTCCCCCTCCCCCCAGCTTCCCCCCACGCACACACAGGCTGGAGCGGTGACTTCCACACCACTGGCTTAGACTGTCCTGCAGGCCGGGTGTTTCGTTTGTGATTCCCAAGGCCCCAAGCCCAGTGGGAAATTTCCACCACTTCCATTTGCCCTGCCACGACTTCCTGCCATCTGCTGACACGGTGTGACATGACACGCAGCTGCCTCTCCCTGGCCAGCACGGCCGTGGGGCTTGGGTCTGTCTCACTGTTCTTGTTTGTTCAACAGTGGACTCCAACGACAGCCTCTACGGGGGAGACTCCAAGTTCCTGGCAGAAAACAACAAGCTGTGTGAGACAGTGATGGCTCAGATCCTAGAGCATCTGAAAACCCTGGCCAAGGACGAGGTGGGTGCCCTCTGCTGTCCTCCACCCGCCTCTTGCTCTGAAAGCACAAGTTTCCAGGGTGGTTTGATGTTGGTTCATTCTAGAAAGGAGAATGTGTCATGTGAGTAATGTTTATGTGCAAACCACTTCTCCAGGGCTTTGGGGCCTTCGCCCCTGCTTTTTCTCTGCCTGGACCGCGCCTCCCCCAGGCCTTCCCTGACTGTTCCTTCTCATCATTCAAATCTCAGCTCAAAGAACCTCCTCAGAGAGGCCTTCTCGGACCCTGTTTCAAGGAGCCACCACCACTTGCATGCCTCTGCCCAACTGTCCCTGTGGCCCCTGTTCAGTCACCGTCTGAACTGTTGTGTGTTTGTCTGCCTGTCCCCCAGCTCCTGGGGGGAGCTCCCTCCAGCCTCCCTCAGGAGGGACCTGGTGAGTCTTGAAGACCTGACTGTGTCTGAATGACAAGACAGGGACTCTGGCCCCTGGTAACTCTCTGCACCACCCCACGTCTCATGCAGAGCCTGGCCTCCAGCAGAAGCTCCATCAGTTTATGGTGAATCAGTGATAACGTGGGATTGCTATACCTGGGCTCTTTCAGTGCTCACAACAGCCCTGTGAGATGTAGGTGCTGTGTTTATTTCCACTGAATGGGAAGGGAAACTGAGGCTCAGGGTTATTCAGAGCCCTTGGTATTTCCTCTGGCTGTGATAAAACAGCAGAGATTCCAACCAGGATTCCCAAACCTGAACTTTGCACTGCCACATCGCCCTCCTCAACCAAGGACTTTCCACTTCACTTTTCTTTTTCTTTTTGTTTTTTTGAGACAGAGTTTTGCTCTTGTTGCCCAGGCTGGAGTGCAATGGTGCGATCTCAGCTCACTGCAACCTCCGCCTCCCGGGTTCAAGCGATTCTCCTGCCTCAGCCTCCCGAGTAGCTGGGATCCAGGTACCCGCCACCACACTTGGCTAATTTTTGTAATTTCTGTCGAGATGGGGTTTTACCATGTTGGCCAGGCTGGTCTCAAACTCCCAAAGTGCTGGGATTATAGGCATGAGCCACGGTGCCCGACCCACTTCACTTTTAAGAAGCGGTCTGTGGTCATTAATAGTAGGCTCTGTTTTTCCAGCCTTTGTTATACATTAAGTGTAGTATAAAGAATTTTGCGCATGCATTATTTCACTTAATTCTCACAGCAGTCCCTTTATGCTGTACAGATGAGGAAACTGAATCCTACGGCGGTAGCTGTGGAGTATGGTCAAGGCAATTTTCTGGAAGCCCTGCTCTTATCCACAAGCTAAATTCTTTTTATCAGATGTTGTGTCTTTCATATTTTCACAACAGTTTGTTTTTCATATTCTCCATATAGATAGTTGATTGACTGATTTCAATGTAATTTCCATCTAGTACAACCCAATTAACTACCTGGTTCTCTTCCCAAGTTATGCTGACCATGGCTTCCCTTTTTGCAGCTTTGGCCCAAATGTGTGAGTGACACATGAGTCCCAGAGACCCTGTCTCAGACGTGGCCAAGTCAGTTACTTGTGTAGACATAGGTGTGTCTCTGTCACTGTGGTTAGGACGGATTGCTGTAGTGTAGTCAAGATGGAGGCATAGGGGGAAGTTGGCTGCATCTTGGGAGTCACAGCCAGTGCCTGGCCTCTGTCTGCGTCCTTCCCTCACTTTCTGCCTCCAAGCACTTCTCCTGGATCTTGCCCTTTATCTGCTATGAGCTGTTTGCTCAAAGCTCTGAGCATCTCGATTATTTTATTCCCACCTAGCAAAAGATGTTGCCTGATAACTCATTCCTGATATCTTCCTGGCAGGAGAGGGCCTCTGTTCTCTCACTCTCCTCCTCCTCAGTTCCCTTCCCCAAACCTAAGAGGATTTTTGGACCCCGGGTTCTCAGTGCTCTTCCCATGCTCCCCTCCTTCCAAGGTGCTTGACCACTTCCCTCCTCCAGCTCCTTCATTCCCAACCCACTGGGTCTTCCTGGACTCCCGCTTGTTCTTCCTGGGTTTTGCTCCCTTACCTCTCACTTCACATCCTTTCAAAGCATCCAGACCCTTTCAGGACAAAATAAGATCAAACTGGATTGAAGCAGTTCTTTGTCATTTCCAAGACTGTATAAAACACCACCCATCCTCATGTTCCTTCTGCACCCCACCAAAAATACCATATAGCTAGCTGTAGATACTCACATGCAGTATATCCCCATTCTTTTTTTGTTTTGTTTTCTTTTGTTTTGAGACAGAGTCTCGCTGTGTCGCCCAGGCTAGAGTGCAGTGGTGCGATCTCAGGTCACTGCAACCTCCGCCTCCCAGGTTCAAGTGATTCTTCTGCCTCAGTCTCCTAAGTAGCTGGGATTACAGGCGCATCCCACCACGCCTGGCTAATTTTTGTGTTTTTAGTAGAGACGGGGTTTTACCACATTGGCCAGGCTGGTCTCGAATTCCTGAGCTCAAGTGATCCGCCTGCCTTGGCCTCCCAAAGTGCTGGGATTATAGGTGTGAGCCACCATGCCCGGCCAATATATACCCATTCTGTCCAGGGTGTTCAAGCATGTGTTTGAGTGAGTAGGATTTTTTCTGGTCTCCAAGTTCAGGGGCACTGCCCGAAGGGCTGGCCTTAGGGTTAGTAGTTGAAAGGGCAGAGACCAGTGGGACGCGATGGCTCACGCCTGTAATCCCAGCACTTTGGGAGGCTGAGGCTGGCGGCTCACGAGGTCAGGAAATCGAGACCATCCTGGCTAACACGGTGAAACCCCGTCTCTACTAAAAATACAAAAAATTAGCCAGGCGTGGTGGTGGGCGCCCGTAGTCCCAGCTACTCGGGAGGCTGAGGCAGGAGAATGGTGTGAACCCGGGAGGCGGAGCTTGCAGTGAGCCTAGATCGCGCCACTGCACTCCAGCCTGGGCGACAGAGCAAGATTCCGTGTCAAGAAAAAAAAAAGGGCAGAGACCTACATGCCCAACAGTTGCAGAAATGCTGCTGCCCCGGGGGCCCATAGCACCTCACAGCACCTTCTCTAGGGAGGGAGGGTATGTGACTTGTGTCTACTGACCTTGGGGACCCCGAGCTGTAGTACCAGAACTCTGAGCAAGTTAGTGCCTGGAGGGCTCTTGGTGGTTTGTGGGAAGAGTGGCACTGGAACCCCAGTTTCTTCTTCAGGAAAACTGGTTTATCAAACCAGTGAGTATCAGATGAGGCAACTCTCCTAGAATGATTGATACCAGGGGCTGGAAAGTGTATGTGGATGTGTGTGTGGGTGCGGGGGGAGGGCAATGAAGAGAGGTTGGTTAATGGGTACAAAGATAGAATAGTTAGAAGGAATAGGCCAGGCACAATGCCTTAGACCTGTAATCCCAACATCTTGGGAGGCCCAGGTGGGATGATTAGTTGAGCCTAGGAATTTGAGACCAGCTTAGGTAACATAGTAAAATCCTATCTCTATAAAAAAAAAAACTTAAAAATTAGGCCAGTTACGGTGGCTCACACCTGTAATCCCAGCACTTTGGGAGGCTGAGGTGGGCGGATCACTTGAGGCCAGGAGTTCGAGACCAGTCTGGCCAACACGACAAAATCCCACCTCTACAAAAAATAGAGAAAAAATTAGCTGGGCGTGGTGGTGTGCGCCTGTAGTCCCAGCTACTTGGGAGGCTGAGGCAGGAGAATCACTTAAACCCAGGAGGCGGAGGTTGCCATGAGCCCAGATCATGCCATTGCACTCCAGCCTGGGTGACAGAGTGAGACTCCATCTCAAAAAAAAAATTTAAAATTAGCCGGGCATGGTGGTGTGTGCCTGTAGTCCCAGCTACTGGAGAGGCTGAGGCAGGAGTTCGAGGCTGCAGTGAGCTGTGATCATGCCACTGCACTCCAGCCTAGGCAACAGAGCAAGATCCTGTCTCCAAAAAGAAAAAAGAAAAGAAAAAAGGGGGAATAAAAGGGAATTAAGTTCTAATGTTCAACAGCAGAGCAGAGTAACTATAGTTAACAACAATGTATTATACATTTCAAAATAGCTATAAGAGAAGACTTGAAATGTTCCATACACATAGAAATGATAAATGCAGCCGCGTGCTATGGCTCACACCTATAATCCCAGCACTTTGGGAGGCCGAGGTGGGTGGATCATAAGGTCAGGAGTTCAAGACCATCCTGGTCAAGATGGTGAAACCCCGTCTCTATTAAAAATACAAAAATTAGCCGGGTGTGGTGGCGGACACCTGTAATCACAGCTACTTAGGAGGCTGAGGCAGATAATTGCTTGAACCTGGGAGGCGGAGCTTGCAGTGAGCTGAGATCGTACCACTGCACTCCAGCCTGGGAGGGAGACTCCATCTCAAAAAAAAAAAAAAAAGAAATGATAAAAGCTTAGGTGACAGACACACCAAACACCCTGGCATCATCATTGTATATTCTAGGCATGCAACAAAGCATCACATGTACCTCATAAACACAAATCTTATATATCAATAATTTTTTTAATGTTGTATATATGAGGCTCATGAATCAGGATGAGAAAATAAAACCCTAAATACACATTTAAAAGGCCTTTTACAAACATGTACAAACACTCAGCAAGGGTTCATACCTCTTCCCTTTTCTGTGTAGATGGTTTTCAGGAGAGAGTCCTTTCAGCCTACAGGAATAATGGAAGCCCATCACCTTCAGCTTGTACAAATTCGATCCCCCCATGGAAAGTTTGTCTTAGCTTTTTCCCCTGATTTCTTTTTTTTTTTTCCTGAGACAGGGTCTCACTCTGTCATCCAGGCTGGAGTGCAGTGGCACTATCTCAGCTCACTGCAGCTTCAACCTCCCGGACGCAAGTGATCCTCCCATGTCAGCCTCCCAAGTAGCTGGGACTACAGGCGTGCACCACCACACTCAGCTCATTTTTTGTTTGTTGCTTGTAGAGCCGGGGTCTGTGTTGCCCAGGCTACTCTCAAAGTACTGAGCTTGGCTGGGCATGGTGGTTCACACCTGTAATCCCAGCACTTTAGGGAGGCTGAGGCGGGCAGATCACTTGAGGTCAGAAGTTTGAGACCAGCGTGGCCAACATGGTGAAACCTCATCTCTACTAAAAATACAAAAATTAGCCGGGTGTGGTGGCGCATGCCTGTAATCTCAGATACTCGGGAGGCTGAGGCAGGAGAATTGCTTGAACCCAGGATGGGGAGGTTTGAGTGAGCTGAGATCGCACCACTGCACTCCAGCCTGGGTGACAGAGCGAGACTCCGTCTCAAAAAAAAAAAAAATAAAATAAATACAGAGCTCAAGTGATCGAACCACCATGGCCCTGGGCTCCCAAAGTGCTGGGGATTCCAGGAGTGAGCCACTATGCCCAGCCTTCCCCTGATTTCTTGAAACCATTGGCTCTGGCTCCACCTTCTAGTTCAGGGACTTCTTAGAACAGTGACGTGTTTGACAAGTCATACCCACAGAAAACTTGACATGTGGTTCAAAATTACATTTCTTCATGCTGAGGCAACAGGCTGGGTTTAATCAGAGGTGGTCACTGACAGCATAAATGATCACAGCCCAGAAGTCCCAAGCTTGCAATAAAAATAAAGCCCAGAACCATGTAATTTGGAGCTATTTATATTTGACATTTATGTCTGTTTCTCTGGTGGAGAGAGGAGTTGATGGTGACAGTGATTCTGAAACAAAACTCGGAAAGAATAGCAAAGACGGAATGTTTCTGAAGAACATTTCACATGGCATAAATACCAGCGACGTTCACTGAAAATGTCTGTCCATGTATGCATATTTATTACAAAAACATCAGGCACAGTGGCTTATGCCTGTAATCCCAACACTTTGGGAGGCTGGGGAAGAAGGATTGCTTGATTCCAGGAGTTTGAGACCAGCCTGGGGGACATAGTAAAACCCCATCTCTAAAAAAATGTAAAAGTTACCCAGGTATGGTGGAGTGCACCCTGAGTAGCTGGGACTACTCAGGAGGCTGAGGTGGGAGGATCGCTTGAGCCCAGGAGTGCGAGGTTGCAGTGAGCTGTGATTGCACCACTACACTCTAACCCTGGCAGCAGAGCAAGACCCCGTCTCTAAAATAAATCAATCAACAAAAACATGGTCACATGGCCAATATTGGAGTCCTCTGAAGTCTGGTACCCCCAAGAGCATGAGGCTTGGTACCCAGGCCCATCACAGACCAGGAAGGGCCTGGTGGGATTTCTCCCCACCGAGTGGGGTGGGGGGCTTCCTGCTGTTGGAAAACCTTGAAGCCTGTGCCGTTCTGAGAATCATCTCTCTGAGCTCTGGTAGCAACCCTGCTTCCAAAATCCTCCTCTAAGGCCACGTGAAGGTGCCAGCCTCATTTTAATCACAAGCTGTATTTCATGAAGTTGTTTGTTTGGGTGTGGTGGAGCTGGGAACCATGCCAAACCCAGAGAGCTTCCTGGAAATGACAATTCTCATAGGAAAAGCAGCTCTTTTCTATTTAAAACCTCCGTGGCAAGGGGAGGGGATCAGGCCCTGATTTGGTTCCCGAGCTACGTGTGTGTATTTTTCTCGGTGTTTGAATATCAGCTGGCATGTGTCTCATCCCTCAGACACGTCTCTAATGATTTCACTTTTAATGGGCTTTGGCATTTAAAACACATGCGAATTGAGCTTTTTGCTAATTGAGAAGATATGGAATGGAGAAATAGCCAGTTAGGTATTGTGCTGCTTGTCTGACTTTTAAAACAATTTCTCCCACTTCAGTGAAAGGTAGTCAAAGGGCCTCTCTCCAAGGAGACTTAGTTGGCTTTGAAGGAGTTTTATTTTAGCTTGTTCTTCTAGATCCAAGCAGAAAGCGGGGCTCCCGTTCTCCCAGGTGTCAGACGAGGACCAGGTTAAAAGGAGAGCAGAACGGGCTCAGGTTCCCACTTGGGGCATAACTGCATTGTCTGTTAGAACAAATGACGCCAGAGCAGGCGGTCGCTAGCCAGTTTGCAAGTCCGTGCCCAGTAGATGCCAGCCCGCATGCCCCATGCCAAAGCACTTTTCTCTCGGTGCCCGTGGGCCTGGACGCCCACAGCACAACCTGCTCCCTGATGACGGGGCTCTTCGCCGTCGGCTCTGCTGCTTCTGTGACTGTTGCTGCTCTAGGCTGTTGCCAAGGCAGGCTCCATTTTGCCGGGTGGGGGTGGGGGGTGCTGAAGATTCTTAATTGCCACTCAGCCACCTTGCCCAACTGCGTTGGAAGCTATTCCTTGACTTTTTCTTTAAGACAGGGTCTTGCTCTGATGCCCAGGCTTGAGTGCAGTGGTGGGATCATAGCTCACTGCAGCCTCCAACTCTTGCCCTCAAGTGATCCTCCAGCCTCAGCCTCCTGAGTAGCTGGGACCACAGGTATGTGCTACCATGCTCAGCTAATTTTTTTTTTCTTTTCACTAAAAGACTTTAAATTCTCACTTGGGAAAGGACAGTAAGAAGGGGTAACTCAGTTGGCATAGCATCTAGCAGGTGCCATGTGAAATACCTGTGGAACGTTGGATGGATGGACGGTTGATAAGTTGGTTTTAGCTACCAAGAGTAGTTGAGAAAAGCAGGAAGAAATGTGTTTTGGTGTAAGCCCAATCGAGCCATTCTTACTGCCTGCATAAAACTGCATAGCCGAAGTTGGCTCGCAGCATTGGGCGTCTCTCAGACCCTTCCGACTCCGATTCCTGGTAAGATGCGACCCTGAGTGTGTGGCCTGGTAAGATGCGACCCTGAGTGTGTGGCCTGGAGAGGGCTGCAAGTACGAGCACAGGCTCTGGAGTCAGACATCTGGAGCTTGGACTCCCCTCTGCATTTTGAGGACCCAACTGTGGTCCTTGGGCAAGTTCCTAACCTTTCAGAGCCTCAGGTGCCTCATCTGCAGAATGAGAGCGCATTCGTTTCCTGTTGCCGTCATAACCAATTGCCACAAACTTGGCATCTTACAGCAGTACCCATTTGTGATCTCACTGGTAGGTGAGAAGTCAGTGCTGGCTGGCACTGGTGTCTCTGTTCTGGGTTTCACAAGGCCAGAGTCAAGGTCTTGCTGGCTGGGCTCTTATCAGGAGGCACTGGAAGGAATCCACTTCCTTGTTCCTTCAGGGTATTTGCAGACTGCAGTTCCATGTGATCATGGGCTGAGGTCCTGTGTCTGTTGGCCAGGCATCCTTCTTAGCTTCTAGAAGCTGCCTGTGTTTCTCAGCTCGTGGCCAGCACTGGTGGGCCAGCTTCTCCTTATGCCTTGAATCTCTGACTTCCCTTCTTCCTCCTCTTTCCTGTTTTTCTCTTCCACTGCTTGTCACTGATTCTGGTTGGAGAAACGCTTTTAAGGGCTCCAGTGATTCGAGTGGGACCACTCAGGTCATCTAAGATACGCTCCCTACCTTCATTCCATCTGCAGTCTCTCCACAGCAGCACCGGGATTCGTGCTTGAATAACAGGGGAAGGAATGTTGGGAGATGCCTCTAGAATTCTGTCTATCATGGGTGGTTAGGAACATACCTGCCACGGAGTTGTCATGAAGGTTAAATCAGGCGAGTTGTATGAAGCACAGAGCAGAATCCCTGGCACACTCTTCAGGGCTCTTACACGCAGTCACTGTCAGGGAGCAGGCACGAGGCTCTTGGCGGCACTGATGTTGTGCAGATGTGGGATCTGCTCTGGCCCCATGGGCTCCTGAACAGCAGGTACCCACCTGTTGATGTGGCTGTTCGAGGGGCCTTCGTTTACCTTGGGGAAGTTGTATCCTCTCTCCTGGGCCTGGGGTTGCATTTTGGAGATTTATTTTCCCTTTTGTCTTATCATTCAAAGCTGGAGTTCAGGTTTGGTCAACCGTGACGCTGTGGTTAGACTTTTTTTTGGCAAGATACCTCTCACATCAGATTACTGAGCAAGAAAGGAAAGATCTGATGTCAGCATGTAAAGGCTGGATATGGGCACCAAGGATTGGGGAGCTCAGTTCCGGAGGAGATGTCTTTTGGTCTTTATTACCGGCAGCCCAGGGGCAGGAATACTGACTACAGCTTTGGGTAGTTTGAGGACACATCTGAAAGAGGCAAGGTGAAGCCTTTCAGTTTTCAGCTGTACTTGTGTTAAAGCAAGGCTTGTCACTGCTGGGTTACCCTTCATTCCTCGACCTCCCTGAATGGTGAGTTTCTTCCATTTCATGAGTAATGACCATCTGTGGGCACAGAGCTTCATCATCTTACTGAATCCCCACCCTCTGCAGTGGTGACCTTACTGTCATTTACAGATGAAGAAGCTGGCACTCTGGGAGGTTCAGCAGCTTGCCCTACAGCAAATACGTGGCAGAGCTGGCACTGGAACTCAGGCATGACCTACCCCAGAGTCAACACTGTCCACAGCATCTCTACAGGGCACGGCCTGAGCCCCAGTGCAAGGCAGTAACCTCCGTTTTCTGTTTCAGGCCCTGAAGCGCCAGAGCTCGTTGGGCCTTTCCTTTTTTAACAGCATCTTGGCCCATGGGGACCTACGCAACAACAAGCTCAACCAGCTCTCCGTCAACCTGTGGCACCTGGCACAGAGGCACGGCTGTGCAGACACCAGGACCATGGTGAGGCGCTCAGAGGGCCACGTGGTATAAGCCCACTGGCCAGTGCACAACCACCCTCAACACAGCCTTGTGGCCTGGACCTCAGACAGACAACCCAAACTCCCCTTTTAGAAAGGCACTTGGTCCATTTCTACTGGATCACTTCCTAGCAGTAAAAAGCAGAGCTGGCCAGGTGTGGCAGCTCATGCCTGTAATCCCAGCACTTTGGGAGGCTGAGACAGGAGGATCGCTTGAGGCCAGGGGTTTGACACCAGCCTGGGCAACATAGAGAGACCTGGTCTCTACAAAAAATAAAAAATTAGTTGGGCGTGGTGGTGCACATGTGTAGTCCCAGCTACTCGGAAGGCTGAAGAGGGAGGATGGCTTGAGCCCAGGAGTTTGAGGCTACAGTGAGCTATGATCACACCACTGCACTGCAGCCTGGGTGACAGAGCGAGACCTTGTCTCCAGAACAAAAAACAAAAGCATAGCTTTAAAAGTCTGTTCCCTCTGAATAAAAACCATACATATAAACCATCAGTCATTTCTGGTCACACCCAAATCTGATGTTTAGGGCAAGCTGCAATCCAGCAAGTTAAAGACTTTGATTTCTTCCCTCCCCTCATCCCTCAAAAAACTCACTATTCTCTGCTAAGAAATCTAAGCTCACATAATGGCTGATTCATTAGAGCCTTGGGCTCCAAGGATAATGAACCAGAAAGGAGATGGATCTTTCTTTTTTCTCCTAGGTGAAAACGCTAGAATACATCAAGAAGCAAAGCAAACAACCAGACATGACTCATCTGACGGAGCTGGCCCTCAGACTCCCTCTGCAAACAAGGACCTAACCCCCAGGCCCATCCGCAGGCTCAGGGACTCTGGCGCCAAATCCAGAAGGATCTGCTCTGCTGCCCTGAACTCTCACTGCAATTTAGGTTTCGCATTTTCCTTTTCTTTTTACATATGTGCAAATTGGTTTAAGCTTTGGCCTCTATCCAGGTTATTCTGACAATGAAGAAATGGGAGTTGTCAGAGCATTAAAATGCAATCTTCATTGAGAAGCAGCGTCTCTGCGTTGTCTTTGCACAGGTGGCCTTCAGTCTACTCAGCCCAATCCGATGGGCCTTTAGCACAAGAGAAACAAGAATGCAAGTAACATCTTTCTTTTCTGGAAGGTGTTTTTTTTTTTCTTTCATAGTTTAGAAAAAGGACTTTGAAAAGCAGTCCACTTTTAAAGTTCCAGATCCATTCCTTTCCAGACTTTGTACCTTCAAGTTAGAGCACGCCCAAAGTCTGGAACTCAGTGTTACCTGAACCCCTATGGAGGATTTATAAAAGGCAGAAATAGCACTCCATTAACTCTTTTTCCTATCAAAAGCAGCTCTTGATTGGACTTAGAATCTGTGTTGGTGGACCAAAGGAGAAAGCAAGGTCAAATTTGAGATTCTCTGTGGCTTCAGTATACAGTAACTGAATAAATGTCCTGAAGGAGCATTTATGTTCATGACTGTTCATTTAATTACTTCTGACTGTCTTCCTCCAGAAGAGAGAGAATGTGTCTAAATTTATTAGCCTGGTTTGTTTTGCAGCCACAATTCTCAACAGCACGTGATTCTGTCTGCTTTTCTTCCAACCGTTTGGTGGAACCTGATTCTTCTATTACGACTGGTGAGCTTGCACCGACATTTCATTTTGAATCAGTAAAAGCATTCATACCGATTGGTGATTCATACTCTCAGCCCCACTGCCATTGTGAAAATGCATCTACATTGTGGATTTAAAGCGCTGCAAACTATTGTGCTTCTAGAAGATCCACACTGGAACCGGACACAGATTACATTTCATCTTTACTCTGAGAAATACAAGACTACAGTTGAACACTTAGTTAACCTCAGACAGTAAAAGGGGCTAAAATTTTTTTTTAAATCAATTTATTGGCTGGGCACGGTGACTCACGCCTGTAATCCCAGCACTTTGGGAGGCCGAGGTGGGTGGATCACCTGAGGTCAGGAGTTCGAGACCAAACTGGCCAACATGGTGAAAACCCCGTCTCTACTAACAATACAAAAATTAGCCAGGCATGATTGCGCACACCTGTAATCCCAGCTACTTGGAAGGCTGAGGCAGGAGAATCGCTTGAACCCAGGAGGCGGAGGTTGCAGTGAGCCGAGATTGCGTCACTGTACTCCAACCTGGGCGACGAGAGCAAAACATCATCTCAAAAAAATGTAAAAAAGGACAGCAGACACTAACGAATGCCTCTTTCCCTCCCCTCTACTAAATAAATCATACAGAAACTCAGAAAGCATTGTGTGGTGGCTCACATACTCCAAAGTGGCCTTTATTTCACAAAATTCTATTTTTTTTCTTTTTTTAAGACGGAGTTTCATTCTTGTTGCCCGGGCTGGAGTACAATGGTGTGATCTCGGCTCACCCCAACCTCTGCCTCGCGAGTCCAAGCGATTCTCCTTCCTCAGCCTCCTGAGTAGTTGGGATTACAGGTGCGCACCACCACGCCTGGCTAATTTTGTATTTTTAGTAGAGATGGGGTTTCTCCATGTTGGTCAGGCTGGTCTCCAACTCCTGACCTCAGGTGATCCGCCCGCCTCAGCCTCCCAAAGTGCTGGGATTACAGGCGTGAGCCACCACGCCTGGCCCACAAAATTATTTTCATTAAAATTATTTTATCTACTACTTTTATTGTGTGATGCTATAAAATGAGAAAAACAATTGGCAAATTCACAAATTATGTTCTTCAAGTCATTTCTTCTCCTCTGAGGCTGAACGTGTTGGGTGGCATTAGTTCCCAAACCTAGGCCAGTGAATTCTTGCTGCTGTCACATTAACCTGAACTTGGACTTTCACATGAGGTCAGGTACCCATTATACCAAAGGCGCTTCTGAATCTTCTCACGTGGCCTCGGCGGGGGCTGATTTTGTCTGTGCTTGTGTGTGCAGTTTCCCCCAGCCCTTTATTGGATCAATAAGCCAGTCTCTGAAAACACTGGTCTGCATGAGATGAAGTCTATCATTAGGCAGGATGGTGCAGGAAGATGTCAGCCAGAATTGTAGAAAATAAAAATGATGGGGTCCGGGCGCAGTGGCTCATGCCTGTAATCCCAACACTTTGGGAGGCCGAGGTGGGTGGATCATGAGGTCAAGAGATCAAGACCATCCTGGCCAACAACACAGTGAAACCCTGTCTCTACTAAAAATTAAAAAAAAAAAAAAAAAATGAGCTGGGTGTGGTGGTGCTCACCTGTAATCCCAGCTACTCAGGAGGCTGAAACAGGTGAATCATTTGAACCCTGGAGGTGGAGGTTGCAGTGAGCTGAGATCATGCCTCTGCACTCCAGCCTGGGCAACAGAGCAAGACTCCGTCTCAAAAAAAAAAGGAAAGAAAAAGAAAAATGATGGAAACTTCTACATGAGACTTATATTAGGTCTTCTATTGTTACTTTAACAAATTGCCACAGTTTAGCGGCTTAAAACATAATGTTGTCATCTGACGGTTCTATGGGTCTGAAGTCTGCCTGGCCTCACTGGGCTAAAATGAAGCCATCAGCAGGGCTACACTCCTTTCGGGAGGCTCTGGGGGGGGAATCTACTTCCTTTCCAGCTTCTAGACGGCACATACATTCCTTGGCTTCTGACCCTTCCCTTCCCATCTTCAAAAGCAGCAGTGTCTAGTCAAGTCTTTCTTAAAAGTCTCGACGCGGACTCTTTCTTGCCTTCCTCTTCCACATTTAGGGATCTTTGCGATTACCTTGGGCCCACCCAGAAATGCAGGATCCTCTTCCTGTTTTAAGGTCGGCTGATGAGCAAACTTAATTCCCTTTTGTTTCGTAACCTAACAAATACACAGGTTCTGAGGATATGTGGTAGGAAGGGGTGTTACTCTGCCAACTTCTTTTGTGAGGACTGTGTCTATTTGGCAAATCCTTTTTTTATTTTTTTTTGAGACAGTGTCTTGCTCTGTCACCCAGGCTGGAGCACAGTGATGCAGTCATGGCTCACGGCAGCCATGCTGGAGGGTAGTGCTCAAACCAATATTAATTTACAAAGGATGGGAGCTACAGTGATTCTCCAAAGACAAGATTGCCACAGGGTGGGTGTGATCCTGCTCATCTGAGCGACGGTGGTCTGCACTGGCAGAAAGCAAAAGGACAAGGTTAAGTCCATTCTGAAGACACCCAGCATCATGCTGTCTTGGCTGCCCAACCTCCACTGGTGAGACTTGAAGTCCTTATGTACACAGAAAAGCAATAAAGCTCCCCCTGTGCAAATGGAATTCCTAAGCCAGTGGTGATGCTGAGTTAGAAAGTCACACCCTCAGCCGGGCGCGGCGGCTCAAGCCTGTAATCCCAGCACTTCGGGAGGCCGAGGCAGGCGGATCACGAGGTCAGGTGATCAAGACCATCCTGGCTAACACAGTGAAACCCCATCTCTACTAAAAATACAAAAAATTAGCCGGGCGCGGCGGCTCACGCCTGTAATCCCAGCACTTCGGGAGGCCGAGGCAGGCAGATCACGAGGTCAGGAGATCGAGACCATCCTGGCTAACACAGTGAAACCCCGTCTCTACTAAAAATACAAAAAATTAGCCGGGCGTGGTGGCGGGCACCTGTAGTCCCAGCTACTCGGGAGGCTGAGGCAGGAGAATGGCGTGAACCCAGGAGACGGAGGTTGCAGTGAGCTGAGATCATGCCACTGCACTCCAGCCTGGGCAACAGAGCAAGACTCTGTCTCAAAAAAAAGAGAAAAAAAAGTCACACACTGTTACAGACAGAATTTACACCAGGGGCAAGGCCTGACCATCACACCCTCGTGAGAGCTACCAGTCAGCAGGGCTTGGATGGGAGCAACACAGTGGACATAGGATCACCTTCTCTCCACAGTCACCCAAAGATACCTTTTTGTTTATTTTTTTGAGACAGAGTCTCACTCTGTTGCCCAGGCTAGAGTGTGCAGTGGCGTGACCCCAGCTCACTACAGCCTCCACCTTCCGGATTCAAGCGATTCTCCTGCCTCAGCCTCCTGAGTAGCTGGGATTACAAGCCTGTGACACCAAACCCACCTGGCTAATTTTTGTTATTTTCAGTAGAGACGGGGTTTCACCATGTTGGTCAGGCTGGTCTCGAACTCCTGACCTCGTGATCCGCCTGCCTCGGCCTCCCAAAGTGCTGGGATTACAGGCGTGAGCCACTGCACCCAGCAGAGTACAACCCTTTTAACAGAGCTAAAGCAGGCCAACGTCAGGGTGACCTCCTGGCAAGATAAAAACTATGAACAGAAATGGCTGATTCCAGCTACTCAGGGGGCTGAGGCACAAGAATCAGTTGAATCCAGGAAGCAGGGGTTACAATGAGCCGAGATAACGCCACTACACCCCAGCCTGGGCAACCGTGCAAGACTCCATCTCAAAAAAAAAGAAAGAAACGGCTGGTTCCTGTTTACACCAGGCACATTGCTACAGTGTTGCTCAGGGTCAGGAGGGATTTGTTTCTCCATCAAAGGAGGAGGTGCCCAGAAGGCGCTCACTCAAATCCAGAACACTGCCTCTTGGGCTTTCCACGGCCTCTCCCATTATGTACCTCAAGGTTGAATCCAGGAAAGAAAGGCAGGCCAAGTTCACGTCCTGAGGGAAGTGGCCCAAGTAGGTCCTTGTAGCACACGCTTGTACAACTGCTGACCTGGCCAACGCTTGCGGGTCAGGGCTCAGAGCCAGGGAAACCGTCTGAAGTGCCTGCCTCACCTCTGCCCAGTGGGCAGCTGTGGACACCATGGCCACCTTACCAGCATCCACTCTTTTTGACTGAGGGGAATCACCACCCTTCCCATGACAGGGGCGGGTGCAGGTATGGGCAGATGACTCATTGCCCAGCAATGGAGGCTTCTGGAAGTTTCCCTGAGACACAAAAAGGCTTTTCTTCCTCTGGAATGTTCTAGGGTCTTGATATGCTGCCTGGAACTGTTACTGCCATCTTTGTACTAGCCTTGATAAAGCCAACACTGGGGATGATGAAGATGATGCTTCCTTGACGGGCTGCTGAACCAGGCCCTAATCAGGCCTTCCTGCCACGTGAGACTGAACTTTCTGGCCATCGAGGCCTGCCTGGGCTGGGCTGTCTGTAGGAGGCGTGTACAGGCTGAATGATCATGAAAATGTCCCAGTCAGAACCTGTCTTTTGGGATGCAAAAAGCTAGGTGAATGCAAAGAAGGTGGTCACAGATGGTCATATGCGACTTCAGCCACTGGACCTGGAGCTCTCTGAGGCTTGCTGCAGAGTCCAGACTTGGAAACACTGTCCCAACAGCTAATGAGGCAACTTCCCGTGTCATCTCCACATGTTCATCTCCTCCTGGCATTCAGTATCGACCTACAGAAGTCACCTGGGATTCTCTTCCTTGTGATAAAAAAGAATCTCATCAGATACATCCCTGGGGCTGGGCACGGTGGCTCACACCTGTGATCCCAACACTGGGGGGCCGAGG